CCTTCGCCAATCTGGCTAATCTGTTGGGTATACCTGCGGGTACCCTGCCCTCGGGCCTATCTGTTGAGCGAAGTGATTTGGAAAAGTTGAGACACGCCTGCGCCGGCTCTCTAGTCATCCCAGATGCTGCTGACAAGGATGAAGCTGCCTACTACGACGACTATGGCAGCCGATCTCCCACACATTACTATCAGTTTCCTGTAAGTCTTGCTGCTTTAGGCCCTGTGCGTTCTATGCCCTTCTTTGCAGCATCATCTCTTGGGGGCATTTAAGGAATATGGCTTCAGTCAATTAAATCTGACAAGGGTGATTGAGAAATTGTATTGTAAGCAATGTAAAAATGTCCTGCTTACAGGATCATTCATCTAAACCATTCTAAAATTACAGAATTTGTCAATTACTTTTTAGGAATTTAAGCACAACTCTTCGTTTCGTACGTTTGGAAGATTTTATATGTAATGACACTTGTGGATCTAGTTTGCACACCCGATTCCATCTTTTTCCTTCGAGAAGATCAATTTAACCTCGCTAGTTTTACTAAACAGATCTTGTTGTACTTTTTATTTATTTATACATGAATTTATTTTTTTGTACACAGTAAAATGTGAGAGCTATGTAAGGAGCAAATAGGTTACTGAAAAAAGCCAGAAGGTTTGCTGATATCGGCATGTTAACCTGGCGTTCCTAAACGCCACACTGGTCTGATGATCTTCTAACATGTTTAAGATATTGAGTGGAGTGGCCCGTAGGGTGTCCTTTAAAAGTCACATAATTTCTCTAGGATTACCGGTTCAGCAATATCTTTGATTGGCGATCTGTTTGCAAACAAAGTTGAACACAATATTTACCGTACGCTGCAGCAGAACTAATGTAATACAAATATTGTGGTAATCCGCGCCCCTTCCCTCGCCAAGCATTTGTGTAGTCGCGCGTAACAAACATCCCGGCACCTTCTTAGTAAATCGTTGTAAGGGGTCTGCGCTTTCCTGTCGGACCTACGGTACCCCATCACGTGGCTGTTTGAGGCGCGCGTAAGCTGGAACCGATTGATGTGCGGAACTTCTTTTGATTGGCTGTAAGGACACAACTGGCAGTCAGGGCTTTCTAGCAGCGGACACACTCAACTTGCCTGCTAGCACAGTGATTACTATGGCTTGGCAGAGCCTGTCGTAAAGCTTCTTTCATGGAGTAAAAGTACAGTAGTCGCCAAGACTCATGCAACGTTCGTGATGAAATTTGGCTTGGTACTTTAGCATATATTTGGTAACACTATTGTGATCCCAAAAATATTTGGACACTTAAAGTTGCATACTCTCTTTACAATCAAATATTCAGCAATATTTGTTATGTATTCCCCAATGCCATTGGTTAATGATTTATTTGTAAACAAAAGTTGTACACAGTGCTTACTGTACACTACAGCAGAGTAGATACAGTTCTGCGAGCGCTGCAAACAAATTTCCTAAATTTGTAAATGTTTGAT